TTAATTGGTATGAGAAATTTTTAATTTATTTAGTTTTTTTTAATTATTGACGATAAATAATTTTCGCTAGGTAAATAAACTTGAAAATTGAATAAGTTCAAGGTTTCATAAGTTGTTATTAGTGTAATTTGAGAAAAAATTGAGCATAAATTCAAAATAATATATACATATTTCTATGTCAGGGCCGTATTTAAGGGGTGGTTCGGAGGGGCAATAACCCCCCTGGAATTGCCCACGGGTGCCAAATTCTTAAATACGGCCCTGTTCTATGTGCGTCCGAAGTCAGAATTCGTCAAAATCTTGAAAATTTGCAAATTATTTTGGGTTAGAAATTTACCAAATTTTTTCTTCAATATCAATAGTTTTAAAATATAATATACAATATACATGACCCGAATTACATTCCGTTTCTTGGAGGGATCTGTCCGAAATCCGAATTACATACCATCTCTTGGAGGGGTCTGTCCGAATTGCACGCCGTGAACCACGTCATGTATATTTATCATGCTCTTATTATGTGCACATCAACATTTTTTTGAAATTTCAAAATAATGAAATTAATAGACTTGTATATGTAGAAAATATATGCAAGGCGTTGCCTACAACAAAATAAATAAAGGAATACTTTTCCAAATGTCTAATAGGTATACCTATGACGTTGAATATGACTATACCTATAGGTACTATATAGAAAATTATATTATTACCTACTATTATTAACTATTATTATTGTTTTTTAATTTATTATTATAGGTATATATTGTAACATTCTTCATTGACAATAGTTTCAAACATTAGTTTCTATATTACTATATGTCTATACTATTATTCAAAAAAAGATGTTTCCGGTATTAATATTTTTATTATTATGAAGTATCACGTCCTTATTATTTTATTATTATTTATTTACATGTAATATTCTAGGCCCGAAATACATTCACTACAATAGTTGTATTTAATATTTATAATTCACAGTGTCACCTACAATATTTGTATATTTTATTGTAACGTAACAACAGCTCGTCCATTCAATGGAAAAGACTTTTCCGAAAAGTAAGTTATTTAGTTGGCATGCAATTCAGATGCACCGTTTAAAAAGGGCCTTTAGTAACTACATGAAACTTCAAACAAAAAAAGGGAATCATTTCCAAAATACGGAACGGGGCCACCGGGAAATTCCTGGCTTCCGGTAGATTGATCTATATTCGCCCATGACTGATTATTCTTATAGTGATGTCGTGATGATGAAGCGCTAGTTTGGAAAGCCATGTGGCATGTAATAACACTTATTATACGTATCTTGTATTTCGTTCAAAGTCACTGGAACAAATATAATAAAATCAACATTTACACACGCGTACAGTAATCCACACACGCTCACTACCTACCCATTCGAATAAATGTACATAACTTGTGTGTGTATATATATTATATACCTACTTTATGTTTTATATCTAATCTAAAATTGTATATCGATACCGATGTATGACATCGAAAAGCAATACGTTTAGAAGCTAAACAGCAGTATTTTTAACTAGTAAAATATATATAATTATAAGTACCTATACGGGCCATAGCCCATAGGGTAAACCATAAAATTATTATAACGTTAGATACCACGTTATTTCAGGAAACTTTTGAAAACATTTCTTTTACTCACATGATTTTAAGTCCCTTCTAAACAACAACATATTTTACTATTTTTATTTTTTCCTGCTTTGGAATAAGGAAATAAAAATACACGTTGTCATCAAAAGAATTTAAAAAATAAGTGTGCTTAAGTAGGTACCTATACACACAACACACAACAGTAGTGAATACTTAAATTAACTTTGGCTGGAATTAAAATATATAGATGAATATTTGTTTAGTGTTGATGACTGATGTACCAATTGCGCTCCTTATGTCTTATACGATCTAAGGACCATTCAAATTGTTTTACCTTCAGGTATAAAAATATTCAATCTTATTCCATCAATATTGAATCAGCTACTATAGTAAAAAACTGTAAATGTAAATAATATTGTAAATAGTATACATATATTAATTTATTAAATGTAAGGGATAACTATTTATTCATATACTCTGAATACAAATACTGAAATACTATAACTTAATTGGCTAACTATAGGTACCATTTTGATTTTACAAACCTTATTTTTATAATAAGATGCATAATAATATAGTGGCGATTTATATAATTTTAATTATATACCTAGATATGTAAATACATATTGTATGAACTATGAATTAGGTAGGTATCTAGATTATTTTATTAGATATAGGAAATGGGAATACAATACAATAATACGGGACATATTATGGTGTATACGTGTATTGTATATGGTGGCCCGTGGACCCATGTACAGAATTGTATGGACCCCCGAATTTATGTGAACAAATTTAATTTCAATAATTTAATTTTTCACATATTTTAAATAAAAAGTTCATATTTTTTTACACAAAAGTTTATATTTTCAGTACAAAAAATCCAAAAATATCTTAGCATAATAATTCAATAAAAATAAATAAGAATAATTTATATTTTATAAGTTATTTAAACTACCAATTACTAATTCATATGGCCAATTGTTTCAATATAATGTTTTTATACCAACCAATACTCGTTTTCCACCATAATAATTATATAGGGGGGGAAGTAAGCATAATTTTTAACCATACAGATAGACCTATAAAACCATTGGCGTAAATAGGGAGGACTTAGTCCCCACAAATTTCTGTCAAGTCCCCCCAATTCAAAATTCAGTACTTACTAAATAGTATTAAGCATTTATCAGTTTTCGAAAATAATTTAGAAGGGAGGCTTTAGTACTACCCCGAAATATATAATATAAAATATAATTCAGTACATTATAGGTACATATACATGCAGTATATTTTATTTTTGGTTAGTTAGCAGCCCACCATTTTCCAACACCTACTTTGCAAAATAAATCATGATCATATATAGTCATGCAAATAATATATGACCTACGTTGATTTGTAATTATGATAATTTTATGTACGCAAATAAAATATCCTATTTACTACTTTTTTTTCTTCTTGATATTTCTGTATTCTGTCACAATATTTACTTTATGCCCTCGATAAGAATCTGTCGAAGAAATCATGTACAGATAAAATATTTTATATGTTTTGATTAACAATCATCACATTTTTACAAGCTGACAAAATCAGCAGATGTGTTGCTCACGTGCAGATCTTCTAAGAAACCTGACAATTTCAAACTGTGCATCATCGATGTCACCACTATGTTCATGGTTATTGATGATATACCTAGGTATATGGATTAAATACAAAATATGCTGGGCGCAAGAGCGTTTATAGAGAAACGGTACAGTGTATATCACGCACACCATCGTGGCCTTATATTTTCTTATTTTTAATTCATTTTACGAAATAATACTTGTTGTTGCTTAAAAATATATATAATATTGTCGTTCATATATAGATTCATTAAAAAATGTAATTATTTTATGTTTATAATCGTCGATCTTGCCTTTACTATCGTTTAACTGCAGCGGCTAGAGTATGGATAGGGAAACTACTATAAGTACCTATATTGAGGACTAATTTTCAATTATTTAGATTTTTCTATTTCACAGACGATATAATAATATGTTCATAGCCACTGTATGTACAATATTATATCAATTGCAATTTCATCAAGATGTACAATAAAGTAAAAAAAGTATAAACCTGTTTGCCGCTTTGGTATAATATATACCTATTTTTGTGACCTTTGACCTCGAATTAAATTCTTAGCAGCGGTGTGATCGATGGGGACTTTCGACAATTTATTTGTTACGATGTACCCAAGGTGTATACCAATTTTCAGCTCTGCGAATTTTTCCGAAGTTTTTTGTCTATTTTGACTGGACTAATAGTATATACCTATAGGTAGGTACCACTTAACTTCTTTTATCAAACACATTTTGGATAAGCTATATATATAATAAACGTGAAATCAAAGGAAAAGGCTTGGACTTTGGAATATAATTTTATATGTTCTAATAATGAATAAACAACGAGTAAATGTAAATTATTAAATTTTAGCCATTTATGTATACACATTACATATTTATAATTTTTTCATATAATACATTATGCATATATTATTACAATATAAACCTATTTATAAATCCGAACATATTATATTATTATGTACGGGTAACTACGTTAAATTATATATATATTATGTATAAATTGTATTATATATACATTGAAATATATATATATATAAATGTTTTTTTTAAATAAAATATTAAAAATCATATTAATTTTATAATAAGTATATATTATTATATATGTTGAAAAATCTTTGAAAAATGTAAAATAAAATTGTCGAAAAAAAATCACAATAACCAAAATAAACTAAATAACCAAAAAAAACATAGAAGATACCGTAAAAAAAGCGTACATCATAAAATATTACATATTAACTTAAAAAAAGAAAAAAATATATAATAATAAAACACATTGCACAAAATAAAAGTCGAAAAAAAATACACGGAAAACGTACTTACACGAGTTAAGTTATAAAATTTATAATATACATACATTTAGGTAGGTATATATATATATATTTAATGTAAAACAGTTTTACGAATGCTTAAGATTAAACATATTTCCTTAATTATCTTTGGTCACTCTAGCCCAATTTTAAAACTATCAAAAAAAAAATCGTATTTCCTACACACAAATCTTAATTGTATATATATAATTTTATTTACAACATTTTTTTTCCGCACTAGGCGTATTTTATAAATATTTATATTATATAATAAATTAATAAAATACTGAAAAATATAATTATTTAGGCACGTTGAATTCACATCATTTGTCGGTTAAAAAAATCATTTTTACCACCGATCAAATATAATAATAATTCTAATAATAATAATAATAATAATAATAATAATAATAATAATCATAATAATAATTATCGACCCTTAGCAAAAAAATAGACCCACAAAACTCGCATTAAAATGACATTAAGTGTGTATAAGTATATTTATAAACAATAGTATAATAAATTATGCGAAATATTGTATATACATAACTTCAGCAGCAGCCAGTATATATAATATATTATGCACTTATTATCATGTATCATGTTTATAATATGCTATCAATCAATACTTCCGTCATGGTTTGTTGAAATAGCTGATAATAATACTGTTTATTGTATATTATAATATCGTAATAATATAATAATTAGTAGGTAATATTATACGCGGGACTGCATAATTATATTATTATGTAAGTACAAACGGAAATCTCGTAAAACGATACAAGATAATTATTCGAATTTAGTGGGGAGGGGCCGGGGTGTCGTGAGTGATTTTTTTAATATATATACCTATATCTACGCGATAAATAAAACCTTATTTAAGCTAATAATATATAATCTGTGTACATGTATATATTATTATAATATATAGAGAGATTATTAAGTCGATTCAACAAATTTATAATACTATATTATATATATATTATATACCTATATACAATAATATAATATATATATATATACTATATACGGTTAATACCATACGAATAATAATAATAATATTATAATATCGAACAAAAAAAATATGTAACGGACGATTGCTAACAAATATTATATAATACAGGTAAGCGGGAAAATTTAAAAATGTTTTTTTTTGTGTTTTTTGCTTTTGACGAACGATTTATAAATCTAAAAAGGTATATATGATAATTATAGTGAAAATCGGCGTTGATTTTAGGTTGGCTCGCGTATATAATATAAATATTTTAATTGATAACAATTTATTATAGGTACGCAGCGTTATATATACGTGAGAATCGAAAGTCGGTTATTATTAGGTATATATATCATACATAATGTAGAGGCACGTGTTATATATTTATATATATTATAAATCGATTTTTTTTCAAAATTTTTTGTTATTAATTTCTATATTACATAATGATAATAAGATTTTTTTATATAAATATATTAATATTTCATGGAAAAAACACACACTAGAAAACTGACCTATATATATTTACAAAGTTGAAAAATTGTTTCATTTATATTTTACTTTAGTTATTGTCTCTCGTGGTATCATTAATCATATACATATAATATTTTACGCAGAACATATTGTAAACTTAAAGATAATTTTTTTTTTGACAAACTTTATACAATATTTATACTATATAATTAACATTTATATAAAAATATAAATTCAGAATGATAACGGCTAAAACACATCACTTTATACTATACATATTATATATATATATAGAGGCGGAGTGTGTCGAACAACCCGAAAAAATTATTGTCTCGATTATTATATACATATATATATATATATATATACATTTATATTTTTCACATTGTTATATATATATATATATATATACGTTGACCCTTTTTTTTTAAAATACATATTGCGTTAATTTTTTTCTTTTTTTTTTACAATGTTTTTTTTCTTATGGTTTTCCAAACGAATAAAAAAGGGATTGGCGTTACAAAAAAAAAAAAAACAAAAAACTACCTAAAAATATTGGAAAAAAAAACGAAAAACAAAAACCGTCAAAAATCGAGGCAAAGGTAGAAATAGTAGTAATAATAAAATAGTAGTAGTAGTAGTAGTAGTAGTAGTAGTAGTAGTAGTAGTAGTAGTAGTTATTATTATATATATATTATAATTATTAGATAATAATAAAGCGGTATAGAGATGGTGACAATATATGTTATACACCATGTACATAACATTATATTAAATGTAGGTATATACTGTCGGTTTTGAGTAGATCTGTCGAATTAAATATTACTCTCTGTACGGTTTACAGTACGAGAACCGGTGGTTCATGTGCTGACTGTACGAACCCGAATGAGAGAACCGTTTCATGCACTTGGAACACTGAAACGGCTTCTCGCCGCTGTGCAGTCTCTTGTGTTCGGTCAGATGGTGTTTGTGTTTGAACGCTTTCGGGCAAACGTCGCACTTGTGAGGTCTTTGATCTGTAACGACAAAGTTATCGATCAATAAAATATTACCTACGAGTAAACCTGTACATTATAATATATATTATATTATGATTTATGACATAGTTGAGGGTTGTGCTCGTGAGAAATAACTGACAATTAATGCTATTGACTAACTATATATATATTGTGTATAATATTAAACGATAAGTTTAACTTGTGTGGCATCAATTAAAAAATGGGTTTTTTAAGTATAATCTGAACAATAATAATAACAAATGATTCAATTTAAAAAAATATTTATTAGAATAAAATTGATAATACGCATGTTCTTATAGTTTAGATTATATACATCTGTCAGTTCTTTTTGTTACCTTAGTGTACATATTTTGTACCTATACATACATATATATAATATATATATATATTTATATATATACATGTGTTGCGACTTGTGGGTAATATTAACATTTAGATGTAATGTCGTCATTACAACCAGATAATAAGTTCAATTGTCATCATTATCCGCCATACATATTATTATAGATGTTGGCCAATGTTAAGGTTAACCAGATAATATGCTATTAAAAAATAGGACCTTTGGATAATGACTTAACAATTATGTAAGATAATGTATATTGTATCAGTAATGTGATAAAATAATTTTATTACCATTATTAGGTAAATATGTTTAAGACAATATATAATTTAAATTATATTCAATTTTTAATGAGTTACTATAATGTTACAATACTGAGTATTTTTAATATATTATACATAGAATCAAAATGTTATATAATTTATTATTATGTTTGTTTATGCTTCCATGAGTCATGTCATTTTTAATTGAACAATTTACTAGAAGATTGACACTTACATCTAGTATAGAACTTTTAACATTATCCACTATTGACAGGCTAACGCAATTATACCAAACATCATCCGAATAGTGTTGACATTCATAGGTGTATATGTTTTTAAACTAATAGGATTACACATTATCCAAAAAGCGTGGATAATGTTGGTTTTATCCGACTAATGTTGACATTCTCCAAATGTTGATATTATCCCTAACATGTACCTTTATTCTTTACATATCATAATATTATATATAGTTTTGGATTATAATAAATGCACTGCAGCATACCTGGTACTTCAGCAGATTCTACGGATGACGGTTTGGATTTTTTGCTGGGCGAACCGACTGCGGCCGCTATTGCGCCATTACTGGTGTTGTTGTTGTGGCTGTTGTTGTTGTTGTTATTGTTGTTGTGCATGACGCCTGCACCGCCTCTGGTCGATACCGCGTCGTCCGGGTCTTGGGACGTGCATCCCGAGTCTTCGGCCTCATCTGTCATGTCGCTCCAGTCTCCGTATTCCTAAAAATTTCCGAAAAAAAAAAAGTGTTATTAAAACGTCAGTCACACGAGTTGATGTCTAAATTTAGAGTTGACGATGTACGAGTACACCGCAAGCGAATAGATATTTCTGCCACAGCAGGCAATATAATATAAAATATACATATATATATATATGTATGTAGGATAACGCTCGCCGTCCTAACGTTAATTAAGTTAACGAGGTAAAATTGAGTGCAATTACGAGAGGTGACGCGCGAATATGTGCATATATGTATATAATATTCAAAACAGCGTCACGCCGTTAAATAGTATAAGCGTAGGTAGGTATATGATATTATTATGTTATACACGCAATCAGTATAGTTAACCGATCCAAAAGCTCTCGCACTCCGATCAACAGCGTGGGAGTTTTAGCGGAAAAATTGTTTTAAAAAAATTGTTAATGAAAAATTCTTGGCAATATTGAATATACACACACTACGATGTACCTATATATATAAAACTGGTGTATAGCAGTGTTCTATGTAGTACCTATATAAAAAAAGCGATCGTGTGACGACGTGACGTCAACGTACATACGTTGCAATACGATTATTGCGCACTTTGTACCCTTTTATACCTGCAATTACCATGACACAATTGCAGAGAATTTGTTCCTTTTATATTTGAGAAAACACTGCAACAGGATTGATCAGACAAATATTTTGTATTGTTGGCTTAAATGATTAAGATATTAGAAATTACCCTATATGGTATAAGTATACATAAAGCACCTATATAATACCTACACACATGTATAGGTATTATATCCTGCACCACTTTGTTTATAATTACACAAATAAAAATCAATTAACTCTATAAAAGTTTAATATGCCCATATGCATGTATACATTGTATTATATAAAAACAGCTTTAGGCCTTATATATAGTGAAATATTAATTAAATTCATAAAATATAATAATAATGATATAAATCATTACAGACATTATTATACATATTATATATGGGTCAATATTGTGAAACTCTAAATAACTAACAATATAAAACATTTGTTGAACGTTCTATAATTATGATCTGTTTTCAAAATATAAAATGGTAAAAAAATGCAATCGTGTCTGTATTCTACCTATTCAGTAGGTATAATGAAAAGGTATGAAGTGCGCAATTGTGTTACGCCCACGATGTAAGTATAATATAGTTATATGGAGTATATATATATAGGTACTATTGGAGAAAATTTGAAAAAAAATCTGCCCGTCTAAGCACGATTTGAAACATGATTATTTAACATCCACTGGACTGGGCCTATAAACCGATCACCGATATTGCTGGAAGAATATTGATATAGGTATACCTATATAATAAATAATACAACACAATGAGTCTACATATATCATTGGCAGTGCATCTGGTATCAGTTTTTTTCCAACCAATTGTAGAAACGATATAACAAACATAAGTAGAAGTACATCGTATATAAACTGTAAATATGTGTGTAAAAGATGTTATGATCGGATATCGGCAATACTACCGGAAGCGCCTAGTTATCGGCCCACCTCCAAAAAACTTATATTATAATATTATAAAGGTGGTCAAATAATACTCACTCTCTTCCACGAACGTTTTTCGGACGCAGGGCTCAAGCTGCCGTTATGCCGGAGCGCGACTGCCGGTATGGGCGAATGGGACGCGGGATGGTGCAGGTGTGATGAAGGCGGCGGTGGTGGTGGCGCCGCGCAAACTGGCGACGGCGGCGGGTAAGCGCCTCCCAGGAACGTCTTGCGGCCATGCGGCTGCAGCATGGAAGCGGGCGGCGACGAACTGCAGTCGTCCCGGTTGTTGGCTGTCCAACACTTGAACTGAATAGTGCACTTATTGTTTAGCGTAACATTGCACATGGCACCGCGGCCTCCGTTGGACTCATCGTCATCGGCGCTGCCGTGGCGGCTCCGCTTAGTGGACAGGTCGAGCGGCTGCTCGGCGAGACTTGGGGCGGCTAAAGCGTGGGCAGCGGCGGACGCGGGCGAGTACGGCATGTGCACCAGGCGACCCTCGCGCCTGTCTCGAGCCCGATTGTTCTGGAACCAAACCTGGACGACGCGCACGTTGAAGCCGATCCGGTCGGCAATCCGGCTCAGTTCCTCTCGCTTTGGCCGTGGGTTGGCCGCGTAGCACTCCTTGAGCACAGCCAGCTGGTCATCGGCTATCTGCGACCGGACGCGGATCTTGCGGCCGTCCTGGTCCACCGAGTCTTCTTCTTCGGTGGTGCACGGTCTGTGCTCGTCGTCGGTGTAACAGTCGCTGCCCCCGTCATAACCATTGTTTATGTTGTTGTTGTTGATAGTCGTCTTGGAACCGGCGCTCGCGGAATAATCCGTCGCTTTGCCAACCAGACTTTCGGCTCTGTGGTGGTTGAGGAGGTGGTGGTGATGGTGATGGTTGTTGTGATTGGGATACAAGCTGTAGCCATGGTGGTAAGGCGGCGAGTCGCTCGTCACGCTAGGGCAACCGCCCGACGATCCGCAAGACAGCGGCTGCTGGTGGTGCAGGGCAGCGGCTGCGGCTGCCGCAGCGTTGGCCATCATTAGCTGCTTGGTGACCGCCGATACGTTGACAGTCTCCAAGAGTTTTTTGACCGCCTCGTCAGTTTCGCCGACCACGTCCTCGTCCGCACCTCCACCGCCGTTTTCGCGTTCCTTCTTCACCACGCTCACAACGTCGATCACGTTGTCGTATTTGTCGTCGTCATCGTCCTCTTCGTCGTCGTCGTTGAAATCGTCACCACCACTCTCGTGATCTTTATTGCGGTTTTCTTCATCTGTCGTCTTGTTCTTTCCATCATCGCCACTACAGCAGTCGTCTTGTTCTTGCTGCTGCTGTTGTTGTTGTTCTTGTTCTTGCTTGACCATCGCTGACTGCATCTGCAACGACGGTTGCAGCAGATCGTGTATGTTGAACTTGCTCTGAGTGTTGAACAGTCCTGGGAAGTAAATGGCTGCCGCGGTGGCTTTCGGTTGCGTGTGATAGAACGACTGTTGTGTAAGCGATTGCGCCTGTGTTGGACTCGGCTGCGCCACTTGCAACTCGTACTTTGACACCGATGACGGCAGCAGAGGCGAGAACGCATTGCCACCGGCACCGATACTGTTGTTGTTATGGTTGCTGCTGTTATTGTTGGTTATGTTGTTGTTGTTATTAGGAACTGGACGCTTTCCCGGAAAACCGTTGTTCGGTTGATGGTGGGCGGCGTTCCGGTTGTTGGCCTGTGACCCACGGCCTCCCATTTTTAGATTAATGATCAGACACTTCTTGGAAGTCATGTGACTAGAATATGAACCGGAATGCGAGAACCGTTTACCACAGTTGGAGCACTCGAACGGTTTTTCTCCACTATGAATGCGAATGTGTTCCTATGGAAAAAATCCCAATCGTTTTTTAATCTCGGAAAAAAACAAAAATCAATAATACTACATATTATGCGTATCGTGAATTCAATACTTTATACGGAAGTAATTATTATTAAGTAAAAAAAAAATCTGTAGCTCTTATATACGCCGAGAAAATGAAACATCACGGTATATTTAAGTACTTATTATACATATAGATATATGTATCATACTATCATATAGTATCTATAGCGGTTACAGGTGCATTTGTATTTAATGAAATATGATATACGCATAATGTTATAAACGAGACTATGTATAGTTACCTTGAGATGATGTTTGAACTTGAACGCCTTTTCGCACTCGGGACATTTGAACTTGCGCAGCACAGCGCTCTCATCATGGCTTATCATGTGCCTTTGGAGACGGTAAACGTTGGCGAATGTCTTGTTGCACACCTTGCAGGACTGTAGACGAGAGAAAACAAAAAAAAACACGTGCGTGTTATTAAGAGAAGCAGCTATTATTTTACGGCGGTTCGCGGGACACACGTATCGTCGCATAAGAGCTGCAGGGATATATAAGCAGTATAATAGTATGTATATATAACTATACCGCAATAAGGACCGGGTCGGGTAAAGGTAGACGAAAGAAAGAAAGACCATATAAATACGGAAAGAAAAAAATCGTGGCGCGTAAAATCTCACGACCAAAAAAATCTTCGTAGGAGTCCTAAAAATCCCATCATGCCTGGCGACGACGACGACGCCTTATTAAAAATAATAATCAAACGAAAAAAGCGCCGTTTAGAGAGAGAGACCGTCGACCGACGTGCTGCGGTTATGTTATAGACAAAAAAAAAGAGACCAGAGAGTATATTATTATTATATAGAATGAAATACGACGAATGTCGTAAAGGTATGACGTCAACAACGTGTCACCATGTGTTAGGCCGTGCGGTGTGTATGTGTGTGTGTATATTATAATGTGTTGTTTGTACACATATATTCGTGTGTTTATGTGTGTGCGTGTGTGTGTGTGTTCGCCGTGTTACAGGCACACATACTATATAGTGCAGTGCAGTAATCGTGAGAAACCCTAATGGCGACAGGTTATACGAAAATCGTTATACATAATTCCATGTGCCGCCACACCATGATAACATGACGATCGGTTAATTTAACTGCGCCTCGCACACATGTACTCATGATATTAAACATATATATATGCATATAATAACAGTCGGCATCGTCTTTATCTATACCTCATCTCTCGTCCTCCCCCATCATCCCATCGGTATATATACGTATATGCGAGGCTGCAGCATTGGATATACGCATACTCAGGATACGAAGTCTATTATAGTATTTAACACGTATATTATATTTTTTTATTAGGTGTATAATAATATTATATTTCGGGTCACACACACGCACACACACGAACGAACAGCATTTTCTGTGCGACACCTCTTCTTTTTGTCTTTTATCAAACACACGATAGGAAAAAAGACTAATACCGACAAAATATAAAATAGTATTATACGTATATTGTAATCAGCTGCAGAACCAGACGGGACTATACGTGATTATCGGAGGACATATTATATTATATATACCAAATGGTTAGAGCACGCACCGCGGGACCCGACTATATTTCACGAGATGATAATAATATTATATTGTACATTATTATTATCTCACTATCGTCGTGTTGTACATATGATAATAATGCGTGTGGTTATGTATATACATTTTTTTTTCTAAAGGCCATGTGGTCCTGCATGTGTTTCGCACTGCCGTGTGTAAAATATAATAATAACGAAATAATAACATAATATATAGATATTATATTGTACAGTATATACGTTCGACTCGTATACATTATTATATAGCTGATATCCGGCGAGGCCGTGTCTCCGCCCCCGAAATAGCGATAATCCATTATACCAAACGTGTCAAGCATATATATATATATACCTTTACGATTACAATAACACTTTTGTGCGTGGAAAATATGAGAAAAATAAGAAGAGAGGTCGGTTGGCTATATTATACATGTTATACGGAGTGCGGACGAGGTAGGTATATATAATTTACCCGTCGCATATATATGATCACGTCGACGATTCGTTTCGGAGGGAAGGAAACGAAGAAGAAGAAGAAGAAAAAACGACCGTCATGGCGAGATTTTAATGGCCATCGTCGTCTTCGTCGGGTAGGTATATATATACCTACACATTATATAGGTATACACATGAAATATATAATGGTGACGGTGATGCAAACGAGAAGAAGGTCGCGTCGACGCGTTTCGTCGTGGCCCGGTGCGCACGTCGATTCCCTTTGTGAACGGGTCGGGTTTTAAGTACATATAAACGCGTTTCCACGAACGGCGGGAGGTAACAATAATAATTATATATATATATATATATATGTATTATACACGACGAGGGACCGAAGACCTGCTGCACATCTGGACGGGCCCCGAAGAGTCGCATCCCGCAAGTATAGACTCTGCGGGGCGTGGGGTTCAAGGGATGGGGGTTTTTTTCGAGATTACACGGAGAATAACACCTTGCGGTGGATCCTCCTGCGTCAAGGTCGGGCTTAAGCACTGCTGCATCAGCACCATTGCATATGAATATTATTATTATTATTATTTACAGCACTATATACACATTATGTTCGAATTTTTCTTTTGACCCCCCAAAAGTATTTTCTGTTCTTTTGTCCGAATACATATATATTTATATATTATAAATACGAATTTACGCCTAAACCCGTCACCGGACCACACACACACCCGCACGCGATGGCCCCGAAAAACACACGGAGAATGTGTTCAATTGTGTAAGAGTCGGTCGCACACACATATATATATACATAATAAATGTACGCACGCGCACCGGATTTTAGGTGTGTTTATTTTATTTGTATTGTATATATATGTGCGTTTGTGAGGATATCTACGTTCCGTGAGACGGATCGTTTAAAGTATATTATATTAAACACACACAAATATATTATATATACATGGAGTATATGTATATGTACAAAGGTTATTCGGGCCCACGGAGCCACTTTCATGGCGTCCTATAGTCATGGTGCATGTATAGAGGTGCGCCAGGGCGAGGTCACCACGTATACGTTTATAATATGTATATAATATATTTAAGCCATTCGGAATTTAATGGAAATAAATAAAATATATACCTCTGCGGGGGCCAACCAAACGACCATGCGGTGACTGCGTGATGTGCACCATGCATGTCGATATAGTGTGTCCGCTGCTTGCGTTTACCAAATTTTGTTAAATAGTGCAGGAAAAACAAAATATAACGTGGGATATTGTAACTTACGCTAGTTATATATACCTGTAGCTAAATGCGAGGTAGAGCGATTCAAAATTTATTTTTTTTTTAATTCTAGGGGATCATATGAAGTGTATTAATATCTATCATGTGTAAACAGTTATGACCTATATAATACTTAGGTATGTGTGTATATAATATACGATAACATGAGAGCTAGTGCGTATATATTGTAATTATACTGAGAATCGTAATATATATGATAACTTACCACTTGGGCGTTGGGCGAGTGGAGAAGTTCATGTTTCTCGAGCAGGTCGCGATTGCCAAAAGCGGCGTTGCACTGCAAGCACCCGTATTGGCCGGCGACCGCAACCGTGGTCGGGGGCGGCGACGGTTGTGACGAAGGCGGCCGGGCTCGGCATCCGCCGTCCAAGTGTTCCTTTAGCGATCCCAGGTCAAACGATTCCCGACAAAACGGGCAGTACTGTAAATGCTGCTGCTGTTGCTGTTGCTGCTGGTGGTGTAGGTCCTGGTAATCCTTGAGAAGACCCTCCAGACTCATCCCGGGCAACGGAACTGTGTGCAAAAGAGAGACGAAAATGAATACAAATAAAATACAATTATATTAATATTATATATGAATAAAAATCGAAAAAAACCAGTCAGAATACACAAAAATGTATTATAATATTATACCTAAACTCATACAACCCACCTACAAATCAATAAATACGCCTACAATATATTTGGTACCTACGATTTATAACAATAAGAGGCGTATTACAAAATATATCTGTACCTATACATACAATACGATATTCAGTACAATATATTATTTATTGTTATATTGCGGCCATTTGTGTGCGGTACATTCCAACGGCGGGTGGCTACAGGTATACAATATCTATGCACCTGTTGTTCGTGAATACGCATTGTTCGTCGCGCCAATGACACGAGACGGCACGAGCAAAGGGCGTGATGGTCGCACCTGCCCAGACGCGTTGAGGGGGGTCCTGCGCGCAGGTAATGTGACCTCCTACAAACCAATCAGGTGTGTTCGTCGACCTGTCTATTGTTATACTCATCGACGTCCATCTTCTTATTTTTTTTCATATCATTATTTTCGAATTCCTACATTTATTTTGTGAGGACAGATTGCCAACGAATTGCAGGCTTCATATTAATTATAGAGTTCATAATGAAAACTGCATTCGAAACCGAAAACTCTGCAGGTTTTTTATTTATTTTTCCAAAAACAATAAATAAAGCTATACAGTTCCGACATCCACAGTAATATATAACTGCAGTAGTATAGAAAACAATCATCTACAGCAGGCTGCTAGCACTTTAAAACAATATTCTACATATCAACATAACGTAAACAAGTACCTTTACGGACGTTAAATTATATATCATCTAAATACACGAATTTATTGATTGGTTAAAACGTGAGGCAACTAAACCATGTTATATGTATCTACCCGTACAATATATATGTAATATATTAGGTATATATGGAAGCGCGTATACATATAATACTGCGGGTGGTTAATGTGTTATAGGTTCGACCGGATGGAATCCGGTCACGGCGTCTTAACGATCTTTTGGAGATGTGTATATAGTACCTATTATGTATATATTATATACAAACGTGTATATTTATGATCGGACTAAATCGTTCGCGGGTTTGTTGTATATTTTTGTCTTATACTTACACGTGTAAAAAAGTGACTATATATGCATACATGTATATACATTGTACCTATATAATATATACCATACGGCTGTACGAGTTAAATAAGTTTTAAATATTATATACCATATATATATATATATATATGATGTATACCTAATGTATAAAGGATTAAAGCAATGAACTATATAGCTATATAACCGGAACACATATATAATATAATATATAAATATAGCATACAGCTTATCAAACCGAACTATGCGGTGCACTATATATAGGTAAACATATACAGAATAATCATAAGTTAACTAAATTATTACTAGAATATATATATGTATATATACATATTATATAGGTAGATCGTATATAATATATATAATTAAACATGTTGTATAGTAGTGTGTGAACGTTGTTTTCTCAACATATACGTATAAACTTATATATATATATATATACATATATACCTACTATAGTTTTTCGGACACGTTTATCGTGGCATCTGGCAAATCGTGTGGTCCACAAATATATACACGTTATATCGTTATATAACATACAAATACCTATATAATACGTACATTCTACACATACGACATACGTATAAAACAGGCTTATATTATATACAAAGGTAATAAATATAGATATTTACGCGTGTTAAACATAAAATGTCAAACATTTGACAATTCTATATAGAACGTGCATTCAATTGTAGATAAATAAACTTATATATATGCATATACCATTATACTTCATGTTATTAGAAGTTATATGTAGTGCACTTTATATATAGACGATGATGTTTATATGTGTGCAAAATACGTTAACTTAAAATAAATAAAATAATAATAGTAAAGCCTATATATATAGGTATATCTATAAAACAATTATTAAATATATATAGGTACCTGCAGCTATTTCGAAAATATCATTTTTACATCATTATTGCAATTTTAAAGCAAAACAAAATAATTGAAAAAAAATTATATTTCTTACAATTTTTTTGTTGTTAATGTTATTAGTTTTTGAATGTATCTTTTTATTTCATATTCCGAATAACCAGACTGTTCGATTTTTATATGTATTCAGTACCCAGGGACCATGCAAATATATTCTGCTGCAGTGGAATATAAAATAAAAAATGTATGCTGTCATTCATAAAAATAAAAACCTAAAAAAAAATACAACGTTGAAGGTATAATAATAACGAAAAATGTAAGACTAAAAAAGATAAAAAGAATAATTGCGAAAGATATAAATGTTATTCAAACATTTCGTTATGAAATGAAATCAATAATTAAGTAAAAATAATATTTTCAAAAAAGTTAAAACTTTTCATAATATAGAGTGTATAGAAACTTTTAATAGTGGATCACGTATTGTATATATTTACATCAATCGATATTGACATTTTTTTTATGTACAAATGCCGGTAAGGCCGTGATGGCAATATTTATTGGTAAAAAAATCTTGAATTTTATCAGTTCGAAGAAGTCGTAATAATATACAACGATATGATGATGTTCCGAGTAACCACGTAAAAGTTTCCAGCTAAATCGCGCAAAGAAAAAATAACCATAATACGAAGGTCTTGTTGCACATAATATGTGATTCAAAATGGTATACATCGTATATTCGTATGTATATATATATATATGTATATAGCATATTTAGTGTGTTTAATAAATTAATAATATATAGTTAATCTTATGTATTTGTATTATTTGTTGATAAATTATATATGCATTAAATATGTTCACAGGTGTAAATATATAATATATCCCTGTACCCATATGAGTATATATAACTGGCTATTTTTATTAATTATTATTTTTACTTGTACCTATACATTTATTAAATAGGTATACTAATATAGTATTTTTTATACATAATAATTCATTATATTTGATTAATTAAATTTTCTTAAAATATGAATTAGGCACCTATACAATTATTATATTGAATACACACGCTATTCCTTATATAGTAGAAAGGACACGATTTTCGACATACATATTTAGGTACATATACTATTAAAACATTCGTCGAAAAAATATTATTTTTAGTTTACTGCACATTACAATAAATAGTATATTACACACGCGACACGCGGAGGATAAATGTGTATAATATTGCGTGGAACTCGAGTGTTTTGCCAATATATGTTTAAACCATTACTAAACAGTATCATTACTCGGGTAATTTTATTCTAAAAATGAAAACGTGCAAAGCTAAATTTATTTAAAAGTATAATTTAGTGTTCGTTTTAAATAATATTTTCCACATTTAAACATCTACAGACTTTCGACATTAACGATTCCAATATATATTAACACCTAACAGAATGCGTACGGTATACCTATATATTATACTGTATATATACATATTGTATATATAGACGCAGCACTATATGATGCAAATTAAATTTATTTCTACAGGCGGTCTGCTGCGGCAGCAGTCGAGGAAACATTATCATGTATAGGTATCTATATATATCTGTATAAGTTTACGTTTATATTTTTACGAGGTACCTACAAATATAAAGTTTTAATTAAAAATATGTGCGTTCAAAGTGTATAAATTTAGATTACATGATTTACGATGACGTGTCGGTGATAACATTTTTAGTGTCGTCGGATAAACGTCAACAAAACGATATCGAAAAAATAAGTGTACACACATTAGATATTTAACATTATAGATATCGAGAGTATATTGTATCAATACTTCGATAAAAATAATTTTAAAGCTGAATTTAACGACGAAATACATATAACGCATCGCGCGGTACCTTTATATGTACCTACGTAAAGATGCGCGCGTATTCTACCAATAGAGGATGTAATAACAATAATAATATGATAATAGTTATTTTATGATACACACACGAAATCTACCAACAGATATATTATATTCGAATTATTATGACTTACGTGCGTAGTTGCCGTAGGGAAAGGCATTTTGGAACATACCGATGACTTGCGCGGCCGTATACATGACGATGATTTTTTATGTGTATAGCGATTTGAATCAAGCACGAGAAAAAAATTCCCAAACGAGCGCGTTTTTAATTTTTTTTTTAACGTAAATAATAAAAACTCGATGCTGCTGCACAGGTATATATATATGTATACATATATTTATACACAATATTATACGTATGACGACGGTCGGGCTCGACGTCCACCCGATGACTGACTGTGGTATTAAACTATACTCGGATACGTTCCGGTCCTGCGCCGCATAAAAAGGTGTATATACTAAACGGAAGAGGGACTAAATATACGTGCGCACCAGACGGACGGCAGGTACGAAATGATGATCCTAGGAGCGCAGTGCCGGTACATCGCACACAGACACACACACGCACACGCACACGCACACGCACGATACCGACCGGGTGGTTGTGCTAGGTATATACTATATATATATATAATAAGTATAATATGTATTTTTTTCCCGTAGTCGTTCCCTCCGCCTCCTTTTCTACTATATATATATAGATAGGTGTATGTATATACCATCGCCGCCGCCCGACACTTGGCGATTGTGTGTGGTGGTGGGGGGAACGGTAGGGGGTCGAGTATCGGCAGGGGGAACAGAGGGCCGAAAATCGATCGGTGGCCGTCGTCGCCGCCGTCGGTGCCTCGACAGAGATAATATATCTATCGCTATATGTGGGTGAGCGCGGGTGGCGGTGGGTGCTGCAGGGACGGGCTTCACGAGCGATCTTGCGTCGTCGTGGTCGACGTCACCGCCCGGCTGTATTTTATATTTAAATAGGTATACGTGTAAGTGTATATGCGTGGATATATATAAAGGTGAACATAATGCAATATATTATGTACCTACACCTATAATATATTAAAATGTTACAAAATAGCAGCCA